GTGTGTCCCTGTTCCTGTGTGTCCCTGTTCCTGTGTGTCCCTGTTCCAGTGCCAGCCCACGCAGCCGAATCCTTCACACCACAATGTATCCGTGGATAATGAAGTCCTCAGGCTCTCCAGAGCCCTGAGGATTCATCTTTCTCCTGCTTTGCTTCCCACTCCCCAAATGCTCCATCTTGACATTATCCTGCTCAACCAGAGCAGCCCAGCCCTGCCTGCAGTCACTGCTTATCCTCCCGTGGCTCCAGGAGCTGCTGAGTCTGAGCACATGAACATGCTAAAGCAGCAAAAATAAAAAGCACCTTGGTGGTCTAATAACTGGATTAAGTTTGTCCATATCAACTGATGAGTCTGTCTCAATTCTACTGTCCTTTTGAACTGAACTCTAAACTATCTTTACATTCTCACAGAAATTTAGAATATTTAGAAAATAAATCCAGCTGCACAACACTAAACCAGGTGAGGAAACTGTTCCAACAGTTACAGCAAGCAGTTAGACAGAGAATTGTCTTGCAAGAATATTTTCTTGCAAACAAGAAAATATTGATTTCAAGAATGGCCCTTCTTTCATGTCTCCTATTAGGGGCTGATTCTGGGACAGCACACGAGTTTTACTTCATGTTTATTCTCTTAATTTTATGAAAACATTGTTTTGTGTCCTTCTGCAATTTCAGAGAGTTATTATTTGATAGGATTGTGAAGTTGCTACAAAACAAGGAAAAAATATCAATCTATGACTGTTATTCAAAATCTTTGTCCCTTCCTTGGCTTCAGGAGGAGACAAAATGACTCCAAACTCAATCAGAGAATTATCATGAATGAACAGGTAAGTCCAAGCCCATGGAATGCCAGACATTCCATGGCAGAAGGAATCAGCCAGAGCAGCCCAGCAGAGTCTGTTGGGAGGCTGCTGGTGGACTGTGGGTCAGAAATGCAGGAACACGTGGGGGGGCTGCAAGGAAAAGCCAGGGGGGCTGGGAAGGAAGGGGACAGCACATCCAGGGAAGGGAACAGGTCTGGAACTAGAGCTGAGCAAGAAGACAGGAACTAATCCCCTGAGAAAAGTCAGAGACAGCACAGCAGCAAAGTGCAGGAAGAGGAAGAAACAGAGGACAGATGAGATGAAATATTCACAGTGGTATAGAAGGGGGAGAGAAATGCAAAAATACTTGATTAATAAAAAAGAAACCAGGAAAATGGGACTTGCAGGCAAGGAGAACTTCCCAAAAATCTGAACTATGAAGAGTGCTGCAGAGACAGGACTGAAAAGGGAAAAGAAATGTGGGAAAAAAGCCTGTGCTTCCACATCCTCTCATCCTCTCCCAGAACCTGGAGTTCTCTCTCAGCATCTGTGAAAGCCTCTTGCCCAGCAGCTTGTTCCTGGCCACAACTGATCCAGCTCAGGGTTACAAATGCTTCACACACGGATCTGTCACACCTGGAGCCCTTCCACAGGTGGCTTTCCAAGCTTGAGGGCTGGTAATGAGGAGGGACTGAGCACACAAAGAGCTATTCTTTAAAAATACCAAGTTCAGAATAATGCTAAAACTTAGAAAAAAATATAAACTGGTTCCAGTAATCTGGATTTGAGAACCAAGGCAGTGGAAACCCTTGACCTTAATTTTAGTGCTTCAACCTCCCTCTCCCCCTGCGAAACAGAAATAATGCCATGCCTTTCATTTCCTAATGAAAAAAAGAAGTATTTCCAAATTGCTCTGATATTATAGCAATGAAAGCCATAAAAAGCCCACAAGGGACTCAATAACTTAATATTCAAAGCAGAGTTTGAATAATGTGCAGTAAATGAGGCTGAAGGCCATGCAGAACCAGTGCTGCTCTCCATGGTTGCTTATTAGGTGAGGCCCATCCAGCCCAAGGAGTGAGCAAGGCAGCATTCCTGAGGGAAAACAGTGTATAATCACCTCATTTCACAGCTTACTGTAATGCTGAATACAATCAAATTCAGATGTGAAGAGACTTCCAACCTTCAAATGCTCGACACTGTGTAATGCCAACTTACTCCTCAGAATAA